AAAAAGGGGCCCCCCCCCCCCCCCCCCCCCCTTCTCAGAAAAAAATTACTAGACGTACGAAAACGCCTTCTGTGAAGACGAAAAGCAAGGAAGGGTTCCTCTCACCAGTGCCCACTTGCCCATGAACCAGATGAAGAAGTGGTCGATGGGACTGTCGTCCAGCAGCTTCCTCATCTCGTCAGGCTTCAGCTGCCAAGCGATCCCGAACGCCGCCAGCCCCACCGACGTCCCCGCGAGGAGCCTGGTCCCCCAACCCCACTTCCCTTGCCCCTTCGCCCCTCCCGCCCCTGCCGCGCTTGCAGCTCCTCCTACGCCACCTGCCCGACCGGCTCCCGCGGCCGCGGCAGGCGCGGCCGCTTTCGCAGTCGCAGCGGCAGCCGCCTTCTCCGCAGTGGCGCTAGCTTTTCTGGCCTTCCTTGCGGCGAGCATCTCGCTCTTCGTGAAACCACCGCCGCCCCCTACAGGAGGCGGCTTTGCGCTTTCCGCTGCCTCTGCTGCGGCGGCCTTCGTCGTGCTTGTTGTTGTCGCCGCTGCTTCTCTTGCTGCTGCGCCGCCGCTTTTGCCGGTGTTGCTACCTTGCTTTCCAGCCTTCGACACCGACATTGCCCCTCTGGCTTTTATCGCCGCCGGTCCCTTTTTGGGCGTCCCACTCCCCTTCTTCCCTCCTCCTCCCCGCCCTGCGGCTTTCTTGGCGAGAAAGCGTCGTGTGGCTAACCTGCCACCGCAGCTACGTAGGGGGGGTACGTCGCCGGGACACGGAGGCGGGGAGATGGCGAAAATCGAGGGGAAGCGTGGGCCAAATTGAGGTGGGAGGGGGAAAGAGAGTACAAGTCTAGGGCGGGAACGCAACATACGACCGGGATCCTTACCCCGTACGTTCGACCCCTGGTGGGTGCGGGGGACAACTGCCGTCGTATGCCATGTGGCAACTCTCCGAGTGTCTTATTCAACAAGCACCAAGTGATGATGCACTTTGGAGCCTGACAACCTGAGAAAGGTTATCTACGGAGTATGATGGCCGGAGGAGCGTAGGACCGTCCTGCACACCGCCCGAAGGTGCTCGGGGCCGGGTGCAGCATTTGCGCATGCCGGGCGCAGTGTATGTTCGCCCCTATCCTATGTAGCTGCTTCGGCCAAGCGTAGTTCAGCGCCGCTACAACGCCGCTCTTGGAACCGTCAAGGACACTTCAGGTGTCGGTTAAGACATGTTCCCTACAGAAGGGAAGTTGTTGCGCCTGGACACCGCAATACTTGCAATATTGCATACGCAAAACACTATCTAGCGTGTCTGCGCAGGGTATCTGCAAGGTCGTCGTGTGCTACGCACTACGAGCGATGAACGCAATCATTGCGATAGATTATTCGTCTACCACGCTGCATGCCATCCGCATGTTAGAGTAGCGTGTACCCGCAATAGACAGGAGGAAGATGTGTGATATGAATATGCACGCGAGTCGCGTCGAAACAAATCGTGCTCACGAGCTCTGAAATGTTCTGCAGACATGCTTGACCCACGTCGGGAACGCGTTCACTGCTGTAAGGTGAGGTTGCAACAAAGAGATTTTCGACTTCCATTGCTGGAGAGCTGATAATTTCGTTTGTTGAGCACTGCTGCTGGTTAGCCCGAACACGAGCCACAGCTACTTCTAGGTACAGTCGTCCCCGCTTGAAGACACCATTTTTAAAGACACTCCCCGCTTTAAGGACACAAAAATNACAAAAAATCTCAGAAACATGGTGCCCCGCAGATATGAAAAAGTAGGGGGGGTAGGGTTTTCCACCATTCGACCCCCCCCCAGAAAATGTGCTGCAGCACCTGTAGATCCTCGATCATCAACAGCGGTCTGCTGCAGCCGCACATTGCGTATGGGTGTATGGAAAGATTCATTCCATCTGCTAGCGGTTCGTCTGCTGCCGGCTTGAAGCCATGCGGCGAACCGACGTGCCAGTTCAAATCTGCACTGTGTCACTGGTTCATCAGTGNGCTGCAGCCGCACACTGCGTGTGGGTGTATGGAAAGATTCATTCCATCTGCTAGCGGTTCGTCTGCTGCCGGCTTGAAGCCATGCGGCGAACCGACGTGCCAGTTCAAATCTGCACTGTGTCACTGGTTCATCAGTGTCCGTGCGGGCGACCCATGCACGCGTCTTGTGGTCGGGGCATCGGAGACNTGCAGCCGCACACTGCGTGTGGGTGTATGGAAAGATTCATTCCATCTGCTAGCGGTTCGTCAGCTGCCGGCTTGAAGCCATGCGGCGAACCGACGTGCCAGTTCAAATCTGCACTGGTGTCAATGGTTCATCAGTGTCCGTGCGGACGACCCATGCACGCGTTTTGTGGTCGGGGCATCGGAGAGGAAGGCCACGGACAGCAGAGAGAGTGCTCGGATTGCCAGAAGAGGAGAGGTGGAGACCAGGCTGGCAGCAGCTGCAGTCCCATGGAAGTGGAGGACGAAGACGTCGAGCGGCGCAGCGACAGGTGAATTTTTACAGCAATTCCTTCCGCGAAACTACGGATGTGTGTGTGTGTGTGTTTATATTATTAGCATCGACCGCGCTAACCGGCTGACCAATTAAAAGACGTCAGTGCCAGCGGGTAAAAATCAAGGTCCCTGGAAGGGGGCCAAAATTCGAAAAATGCGCAATGCGCTTGATGCGAATGCCAATACGACTCTCTCCACATGTTCTTTCACGTAGACACACATCTCAGCTACACAAATGCATTCGCTCGAATCTAGGAAACCACTGATGCAAAGAGCGGAGGACAGCAAAAGGGTTATTTCAAGCCCAGCCGAAGCCAGGATATCGTGGTATGCTGCATCTCCCA